CACTGGGTGGCTACCATGTTTCCGCAAAATGTAAGGAGGGCCCAACCTAGGGGAATGAGGGCAGGACTGGGAGGGGAAGGCGGCTGTGTCGGGCCAGGACTGTCAGTGTGAGGACTGAGGTATGGCAGCTGGCCCTGGGATTCCCTGGGTTCTCCTAGCCTAGCATAGCCCAGGGCCCTTTCTCACAACCAGCTCCGTTCACCATGGAAAGCTTGGCTAAGTCACACCCTGGGGACACAGGAAGCTCAGCCATAGGACTCCCCCGCCCTAAGTGTGTCATTCCCAGGATGGGCTTGCAGCTTCTTTGGAGGGAGGATAGGAGGAGCAGTGTTCTCAGAACCGAGGGAGCCCGCTCAGCCTGCTGGGCCACGGGGCCTGCAGGACAGAAAGAAAAGATGGTGAGACTCAGTGAAAAAGACGTCGCTGGAGTCGATGCCTCCCGTTCAAGTCCTAGCCCTGCCGTTCACTAGCTGTGAACCCTTGTACAAGGACCTTAACTTCTCTGAGCCCTGAGTGAGGCATACTAATAGGTTTCACATGGGACTCCATGTGAAAGCGCTTGGGATGGTAGTTTTGCATCTGCATCATCCTATATAATAAAACCCTAATATACAAATCGACCAAACTGCGGATCGACCAGTCGCTATGGTGCATACTAACCACCAGGGGGCAGATGCTCAATGCGGGAGCTGCCCCCTGGTGGTCAGTGTGCTTCCACAGGGGGAGTGCTCAGCCAGAAGCTGGGCTCACAGCTGGCGAGCGCAGAGGCGGTGGTGGGAGCCTCTCTAGCCTCCAAGGCAGCACTAGGGACCCCCCTCCCCCCCTAGTGCACAAATGTTCACCGGGCCTCTAGTTATGTATAAGGGAAGAAGCAAGCAGGGACATAATACATGGAGAGGGTCCACCTCTCCTCTACCCCTCTCCCTCCCTTCCCTCCCCTTTCCTCAAATATCTAGGTTTTGGGTACATGACGCAGCAGCTGATGAGCTTGGCTGGAGGTGCAGTGGTGCTGGCCTTGGAGGGCGGCCACGACCTCACAGCCATCTGTGACGCCTCCGAGGCCTGTGTGGCTGCTCTTCTGGGCAACAAGGTGAGCTGCTCCCCTCATCCATGCCTCTGTGGGAACAGGAGCCCAGCACTCGCGCAGGACTGCCCCCAAAGAGCAGACAAATGGGGTGCATCCCTGAGGGCCCACAGATAGGGCGGGGATGGCCAGGCCTGGAATAAGAGGGACAGAGTGGATGCCTCTTCCCCAGGTAAGGTCTGGAGCCAGAACCTCCTGCCCTAGGCGGAGCCAGAGGCACATGCCTATCTGTGCCCAGAAGCCAGAAAGCCAGGGCCCTTGGTGTGGGGGAGACCTGGGCTATGGGTCCCCAAGACTGGTGGTTGATGTACTGTTTTCTTCCGTAGGTGGATCCCCTCGCAGAAAAAGGCTGGAAACAGAAACCCAACCTCAACGCCATCCGTTCTCTGGAAGCTGTGATCCGGGTGCACAGTGAGTGTAGAGGGAGGACACCCACTGACCCTAGACTTGGGAGAACCTCAGGGGTGCTGTTCCCGGTCACCAGAGCTTCCACTGCCAGCCGGGCTAGGAACCTTGGGGCTGGTCAGGAATGGGCTTCCTATCAGTTACCTCAGCCGGATGCTGGGGCAGCCACCCCAAGTGCGGATACCCTCAGAGCCTCCACACGGGCCCCGCAGGGACCACCAGACAGTGGCCTGCCTCCTCAAGGCAGGGCTGAGCTCCGATCTCCACCACAGCCCCAGGCCAGGGCCAGTGAACAGCTACACTCAGGCTCGTTTGTTAACAGTGCTGGTTCCCACCTCAACCCTCAGTCCTGGCCACAAAGGCCTTAGATACTCTGCCCGTTTGGGGGGCTGGGTCTTAAGATAATCCCACATTTGGAAAGCACTTTAAAATTTCCATTTCAACTCAGTATCTATGGAGCATTTTGTGTAAATACCCATGATCTATGCTAGGGATACAAAAAAGGAACAAATTAGGTTTCCTTGCATCTGGGCTCAGTAAGGGCATGCAGGGAACATAAAGGTGTTGCGGGAACTTTGTACAGAGCCCTCGCTCTGGGCGTGTACCCTGGACCTAACTTCTCACAAGAGGAGGCAGGGTGGGCATGTCCATGTGGGAGCCCGGGGCGGGTGAGTGGCTAGCCGGTGGCCACCCCGTGATGACAGTCAGCTCTCCCCGTGCTGGGTCCTGGGCTGACCATTGCTGGACTGACCATCTGCTCCTGTCCTGTGTTCTGGGCTGACCATTGCTTGGGGCTGATGCCCTTAGGAACCATGCACCTGTGGGAATAGGCTAGAGGCGACCTTTCAGCCAAAGGCGGGGGAGAATGGCTTGAGCACCTATGAGGCCACCTCATAGCCATGCTGAATGCTCTGCTCACTTTGTCAGGGCTGTGGGGGCCAAGTCGAGGAAGGTTGTGTCTTGAGGTAGAGGCAGGTGAGAGAACTGACCGCAGATTGAGGATACGGCCGCTACTCTTGGACCCTGGCCTGAGATGTTCGGTCTCCGTACCGGTCTAGGATGTGTGGGGAGGCAGGCGGGAGGACTTGTTTTCCCCAACCCTCTCTGACTAGGCTTCTTGTCCCAGGTAAATACTGGGGCTGCATGCAGCGCCTGGCCTCCTGTCCAGAATCCTGGGTGCCCAGGGTGCCAGGAGCTGACGCAGAAGAAGTGGAGGCAGTGACTGCACTGGCATCCCTCTCCGTTGGCATCCTGGCTGAAGAGAGGTAATACCGACCCCCGGCCGGCAGCCTCGCCACCCCTTGAGCCCTTCCAACCTGAGGATCCCAGATTCCAGCCCAGCCTTCTTGGGAAGGTGGGCTGAGGCCCTTTCTGCAGCCCCTGGCCCCCCAGCAACCCCATGCTTATCCTCCCCCAGGCCCTCAGAGCAGCTGGTGGAGGAGGAAGAACCTATGAATCTCTAAGGCTTTGGAATAATTCTGCCGGCCCATCCTGCCCTTCCGACCTGGTTCTCTTCTTACCTCTGGCAATAGTACCTGCTCCTGGGGTTTTCAGAGGTCCTCTGGGCAGGTAGTTGTGGCCAGAGAACAGTCCCTTGACAGTCACTCCAAGGAGACTGAAAAGGCCCCTGGGTCTAGGATAGGGACCAAAGAGGACCCTGAGGAGGCGGGCAGGGCAGCCGGCCAACCCCCTGTAGGGCTCTCCTAAAAACAGAGTCTGCCTATGTGGGGTCCAGGCCCTACTGGGCCCCCATTCCTCAGGACTGCACGGAGGACTGGCTCAGTCAGGCCCACCCATAACCACTATTCTTGGCGCTGTAGACCCTGGACTTTGCACACAGCCCCAGGCTCCACACAGAAATGTGAACTTGGCCTCAGCCAGGGTAGCCCTTCCTAGGCTCTGAGGGCTGGAGTGGGGGGGAGGGAGACAGATAGGAGGAGCCAAGGGGTCCTATATCCCTGAGTGCAGGGGGAGTCCCTCCTCTTGCCTGTTTACTCAAATGACTATGGAAGCCACCCCAACCCCGCACCACCACCGGGCAGTGAGACAAAGCTCCCTCGAGAGCAGTCATCGTTAGGCCCCCTCTGGTGCCGACCATCTCAGTGCCCTGGTGGAGGAGAAGGGTGCTCTTGGAGTTCCGTGCTTCCTGATCCAATGGTGCCAAACCCTCATCTCCCCTCAGAAGCACAGTGTGACCCCCAGGGATCCCTCGGTCACTGCCCCCTCCAGGAGTGTTCTCTTTCTGGGGTGTCTCCCACCCCAGCTCCAACTCCTGCCCCACATAGGACTAGCTTGGCTGAGGGGGAAGGGGGTGGGAGAGTAGATGCAAGACATGGGGGAGGGGAGGCGGACTGGCAAAGTCAAGGCTTCTGGGGCCAAGAAGGATAGTATGTGTGTGCGAATGTGTGCGAGAGTGTGTGTGTGCGTGTGTGCGTGTGCGTACATGTCTTTCCCTCGGACAACCATACCCTGTGTATGTATGCATGTTTTTGGTAAAAAAGAGAAAAAAAATGGAAAAAATCTGAACATAAATGTTTTATTTGCTTTAAAGGTGCACATGACAGGGGATGGGGTGTGCAGGGGGCACACAGCTCCACAGCACAGCGTGCGTCGGTTCGCTGTGGAGAAGAAGGGACCAGCTCCCCCCAGCTCCTTGCCCCTTGTGGAGCTGCCCTGCAGGAAGAATCCATTCTGAACACTCTAGCTGCCCCTGCCTGCCCCACCTGGGGTAATAAGGAGGTGGCAGCTTTGGGCTGAGGGCCCACTGTGGGGTGGAGGGGGGGGGTGCTGGGCAGGTATATAGCTGCTCAGACCCTGCTCACTAAGGCATCCCCAAAGAGTCGTGAATCAGACTTACCTGGTTCCAGTCCCAGCTGGGAGGTCAGTTGTGTCATGTCACCTCTAGGGGCCTCTGTTTCCCAGTTAAAGGCTCCAGAAATAGACACTGTTTATGGTTCCTGCTCTAATGCACCATAACTTCTTAAGCGTATACTGAGCCTCAAAGAGAGAAGAGGTGAGGCCACAGGCCTGGACAAGCCCAGTGCATGCCAAGATGATGGTGCCAGGGCTGCCAGCGCCTGTCTCTATGGCTCTGAGTGGGCCAGGCTTGTCCAGCCTGCGGGAGTCGAGCCTCATGACCTCAGACCTGGCCCCAAGCCCTCACAGCCGAGGAGAGTATGAAGGGAAGAGGATCTATCCCCTTCCCATCTGTCCTGCTTCTTGGGTGACAGACACTAAACCCCATCTGTCCTGGCTGAGGCTGTGTCCATGGGCATCCTCACCCCGGCCAGGGTGTGCCGAGAGCCAGAGGAGGGGAGTCAAGCCGGGGGGTTCCCCCTGCCCAGGGGACCAGAGGGAGAGGGTCCCCAGCCCCTGAGACACCAACCCCTCCCCTGCCCGCCAGGGCACATTGTGAGCTAAGGAAGTGGCTTTACGAGACAACTAGAGGCCCAGCACCACCAGCCCTCCCACCCACTGCTCTCACATCCCCCCAAGAAACAACCAGAGGCTGTCTGATACAAACAGTCGCTGTATTTCTGCTTAAGTGACAGTAACACAGATAAGGCAAAGAGCTGAGGAGGGAAAGGGGTAGACCGTGCAAAATGGCAACCTAACATAAAGACACACATATCAGTAGCCTCTTCCCTCCCGAGTCAGGGGAGCCCTTGGGCCAGTGTATGGGCAGAGAGCAGGTTTATCCTTCAAGAGGGAGGTAAAAAAAAGATATAAGCTCTAGGTGAGGGGCAGGAGTTGGGGGGGGCATCTCATAGCAGGGGGTGTTCTGGGTGTAACCAGGGGCAGGTGTGAGCAGGCCGAGTGGAAATGCAGGGCTGCAGGTGTGTTGGCACAGATCTGGGGTCCTTCCGGCCTACACCATGCTGCCCCCTACTCAAGCCCTTCTGGGGGCAGGAGCACCTTCCCCAAGATCCTTAGTCTGGCCTCAGGTGGGGAGTCCTGCTCTGAGGTGTGTGGTGCGTGTAAGAGGGAGGACTTGGGTGGTGACGGAGATGACTGACCAGCACGCTCGGGAGGCCAGCTCAGGGTGGGACAGGGACACTGAACTGTCTGCCCAAGACCTTGGGGGAACAACAGGATGGGATGCTGGGGTTTGGGGTGAGGTCTCTACTGGAGACCCCTTACTTGACCTTCCCTTCCCAGGTTTCCACCCTGGTCTGAGGGAAGGTCCCTGGGGCAGCAGGGACCAGATCACCTGCCCCCAGGCATGGGTCAAGGCCTCTTTGCCCCTCAACTGTTGCCTTGGCCCTTACAAAGCTTCCTCACTGAGCGCTAAGAAAATAGATCTATTTGAAAAGCTTCCCTCCAGCCAGGCTAATGAGGAGCAACAGAGCAGGACCCCTTTCCATCACCCCCAGGTCTCCCCCAAAGTGGACGGGGACAGTGTCCTGGGAGACCAAAGTCTTCCTGTTGTGTATTTCCTGCCACGGTGCTGGGGTACCCCAGGGGTGGGACAGTCCCACCTGATGTCTCAGAAGCTGAGTCCAGGTCCTGAGGACCCCAGGGTGCCGAGATCTCACCCCCTGGGTCAGAAATCGCTGAGGATGCTGATGTCGGCAAAGTCAGCCCGGTAGCGGTGGGCGTAGAGGCTGAGCAGGAAGGCCCACTTGAAGGCAATGAAGCTCCAAACGCAGGACAGGTAGTAGCTGTTGGGGTCTTTGAGGCCTGCAAGGGAGAGGAGCCCGACTGACTCTAGAGGGCCTTGCCCTCTTCCCCAGCCCCCATCCCACAGGGCTGGGGCCGCCCTCGCCAACCTCCAATAGAGGCTGAACCAGCCTTCAGGGTTTGCAGGCAGTGGGATGAGGGAAGGTCAGGGCTGGCCATTCACAGGTGTGGCATCTTTTGCTTTTGTCACTTTTACCCTCGGCCACTTCCAACCCGCTTGAACCTGCCTGAACATCAGATTCCCTAGGGTCAAGGACAAGGGCCTTTGGCTTCTTGCTGGTTGCAGCCACCAGGGGGCACTGCCATCCTACTACATGTGCTCAGCACTTCCCACACATTTCACTGAACCCTTCCAACCCCAGGGTATGGCTACTCTCATTCAACCCCCTCTAACAGTGAGAAAACTGAGACACAGGAGGTTCAGTGATCTGGCCAGTCCCTTGGATGTAAGCGCCCCCCTCCCCCCGCCCCATCCAGTCCCCCCTCCCCCAGCACTGGCCCTCACTCTGGTGTCGGGTGATGGCCAGCACAAGGAAGTTGCAGAAGGTGGCAATGGAGACGGCTGAGAAGAGGACGCCCACGAAGAAGAAGCCACGCAGCCCCTTGAGCCAGGTCCTCCAGTAATCCTGCATGTACATGATGTGCGTCACCAGGACCCACAGTGCCAGCACACCTGTGGGACAGACTTGGTCAGAGGGACAGACACTGCCATCGCCCTCTCCTCCCAGCCTCCAGCCAGTGACCCCGGGTCCTCCAGGGACTTTTAGGACCCCTAAGCCAGACCTATTTCTGGGTTAGGAAATGCTGAAATACAGAGAGTGTTGCTCTTTACAGTCTCATGACTGGAATGGAGTTTTTGGAGGCTACAGGGCCTGTGATATCACGAGGGCCTGAAAGCAAGAGCAGATAAGGGAATCTCTCTTCAGTCACACAGTCGAGATCGGCAGAAATATAAAACCATACCATTCTCCCTAATTTTTTTGTTTTGGAAAACATGACTGTTTCCTTACACGAATATTACTTGTGCTAATTCAATGTGATTTTTAATATTTTAAATGCTTACAAATGTTCTCAGTTATAATTTCTAATATGGCACATATAGATATAACCCACATAGAATTTTCTTGGGGTTTCACTACTTTTTAAGAGTGTAAAGGGGCCCAGCCTGAGGGCCACAGATGTGGGAAGCGGTCCTCCCACCCTGATGTTCCTCCACCCAGCCTGCAGGGCTTTCAAGACCTTGCTCATGGCCATACCCCCTGTCACTCCCTCCAGTTTGCTGCAAAGGGCAGGCCTGATGCCCTCAGCCTTTCCTGGGTCCACCCTCTGGGCCAGGCTGGGCATTTCCCCGACAATGCCAGCTGCTGCTCAGCCAATACGAGTGCCCCTTGTGCCAGGCCGTGCCTGCCGCACAGCCTAAAGAGTGGAACAAATATCAATCCCATTGGCAAGGGTCCGGAGCAGGCCTGCAGGGTCCCTGCAAGGAATGAGGAAAGAGGCAGAGCCAGCTGCAGCTGCAAGCCTGGCAGGTGTGGCCACACAGGCCGGGGGTCCTAGGAGTCAGGAGACCTGTGCACACATGCACAGGAAGGATGGACATCTGGTTGGGGAAAGTGGTTGGTTATCTGTGGCAAGAAAGAGAAGAAAAGGAAGTTGATAAGGAGGTGGGGGTGGGAAGAGTGCTTTGACTGAATCTATGATGTTTTAATTCTTAGGCTGGGTGGTAAGTGTAAGAGTGTTTATGAAATTATCCACCCTTTTTCAGTTGCCCAAAATATTTCATAAAAATGTTTTTTAAGTTAGGGAAAACAAGGCAGAGGGGAGCATCATCACAGAGCTATGCTCTGGTCACCAGCCCAGAAGTTGTCACAATTTAGGCAGCCTGGTAAGGGATGAAAACCATGAGACTGCCAGCCAGGAAGCCTGGGGCCATACTCCATGGCACTCCCTCATGACCTCTCAGAGCCTTAGTGTTTCATATCTAAAGATGGATAAGCCCAAAGGTCCCGCCAGCATGGAAACTTGGAGACTCCAGTTCCACACTAGTGAGGTGTAACCCTGCCAATGCTGCAGCTTCCCCTCCCGCCGTTTCACCCACACTCTCCCAGCTCTGCCCCTGCCCACCCCAACCTTCCAAGAGGACTGTGGGGCCTGGAATATGGGTCCCTCCACCTCTGAGATCGGGATGAGCCCGAACAAGCATCTCTCCATGGCCGAGGCAGGAAGTGGGAGCAGGCCAGAGGTGGACAGAGTAGCAACCCCACGGCTTCAGCTCACATCTTATGTGATCTGGGTTGTGTGCCAGCCACCCTTCCCAGAGTCTCACATGCATCCTAGGTGTTCATTTGGAGAGCCAATGGCTTCTTAAAGGGCCCAGGAAGGAGGCTTGTTGTCACTGAGTGCATTTGAGGAACAGTCACAATGGCACCAGTCTGGGCCAGCCCCGTTGCCCTCTGTCTCTTTAACATGCCATGGGGTGGCTGGGGTAGCTGAGCTCTCAGATCCTCTGCCACTCAAAGATTCTGGAAGCTAGCGCAGGAGAAAAATAAGGTCAGAGCCATGCCTCTGTGACTCAGCAATTTCTGGGTTAGGAGATGCTGAAATACAGGCCTATGGAAATGCCATCTCTTAGCCCCCAAAACACCCACCCCCACATATACCCACGTGCCAAAAGGGGCTGAGCAGGAGAAAAAGGCAGATGGCTATCTTGGGTGTTCCAGGTCCCAGGTCTTTGTTAATTAGCAGGCACAACCTTCCCCACCTCTCCCTTCCCCTGCACACAGGGCTCACCTCCAAACACCAGCCAACCCTGGAAGCAGGCTCGGTCCCACCTACCCCAGCTCTCACCACTGTCTGTGGAAGAAGGACCTCCCTCACCAACTCCACCCAAAGGTGCTCAGTGAAGGAGCAGGAGCCCCCACTGGCCCCTCGGCAGGAGGCAACTGTCCCTTCCCTAGGACACTGTGGGCTCCAGGAGCCTGGTCTGCACAATCCAGGCAGAACGGACAGGTCCCCAGGCCCACCCACACGCATGTCCACGCCAGACCTCACCCCTCACTCCACCCGACCTGCTTCCAGGAACAGAGACCCTGCTTCTCTCAGGGAAAAGCAAGGTCCGGAGCTCCTCTCACTCACAGCTCCCCTGGGAAGAACACAGAGCCGTCTGGACTCCTGGGGCAACTTTTCTATTCTTTTCCTCTTTCCTTGTCTGCTAGATGTACAGTAAGAGTGTGTGTGTTTCCCCAGGGTTCCCACAGCAAAGCTTCCTTCTGCAACTGCCTTTCCTCCAAGCTTCTTCCCGGCACCACCAGGATGGGAGAGAGCGGGTCCCCACCCATGAACGCTCTTCCCGCTGGCCCCAGGGGCCCCAGGCTCACCCTGTCCCAGAAACCAGCACCCCACTGGCCACTGCCTGCTACCCAGGACGAAGGCACACACTAGGGCTGCCCTCTGGTGACTCAGCAGTTTCTGAGCTAGAAAATGCCAAGTCAGAAGTGGGGTGCTCACAAGTCAGTAAATTCGCTGATGCATCACCCCCAAAAGAGGAAGAAGTCTGACTGGCGACAGACTCTCAGAACCCACTCAGGGTGGAGAGGGCACGTGGGTAGCCCTGGCCAGGCAAGCCCTCCCTCGCCCCACCACACCGCCGCCAGACAGCTATGGCTCTTCCATGGCCACCGCCTGGATGTCCAAGGCCAGACTGTCAGGGAGGCACCAGGACCTTGCTCCCGCTGATCGCTGCCCTGGTGCCCAACTCCACAGCTGGCCTGCCTCAGAGGGAAGCCTGCAGGGACGGAGAGGGCAGAGTTGGGGTCAGAGGGAAGCCCCAGGACTCCATGGAGCATAAGCTAGAGGGCCTAGTTCAGTGATGGCGAACCTTTTGAGCTCGGCGTGTCAGCATTTTGAAAAACCCTAACTTAACTCTGGTGCCGTGTCACATATAGAAATTTTTGATATTTGCAACCATAGTAAAACAAAGACATATTTTTGATATTTATTTTATATATTTAAATGCCATTTAACAAAGAAAAATCAACCAAAAAAATGAGTTTGCGTGCCACCTCTGACACGCGTGTCATAGGTTCGCCATCACTGGCCTAGTTCATGGCTCTCCAACAGGCAGCTGTGAGATGAATGAGAGAGGACACAAATTGCAACATTACAGGCCTGAAAAGCGTGTGGGGGGTGGGTAGAGGGGTGGGAGGGAGGGTTGGAGGATGGGGGTGGGTAGGGTGTCTCTAAGATCATCTCCTTCACTGGCATCTCCTCCCACTCCTTACAGACGAGGAAACTGAGGCCCAGAAGGCATTGATGGGCCCAAGGTCACACAGCCTGGGCTCACTACACCAGGCCAGACTCCCAGCACACCCAGCTCTGATCCCAGGGACGGCCCTCCCTCCTCACCCCCAAACAGCCCCCATCTCAGGTCTTATCAGTACAACCACAGCGCCTGGCCTGACGACACCACCTTTCTGAGGGGAAAGCAGAAGGCTGGCAAGAAACAGGAAAAAAAAAACTGCAAGAGAACCAGGAGAAACAGGGTAGACGGTGAGGGTCCCGGGGTGGAGGGAGGAGTCGGGTCTGCAGATAGGTGAACAGAGGTAGTCTGGCGGCCCCCAGGGAGAACAGAAAGCCACAGGTGGGGGGCATCCAGGCAGGCATGAGAGCAGCCCAGCCAAGGCACCCACCACCCTTCCTTGGTGACTCCCCAGTGCTCTGGTTGGCGCCGCGTAGGCTGTGGCTATGTATGCCCTCTTATAAGGCAGAACTTCCACCTCCTGCTCCTTTTCTACCCAGGGATGCCTCTCAGTAAGCTCAGGGGCAATGAGTAAATCTAGTTATTCGTCATCAGACATTAAGGTCTCTTTGGGCAGAGGGTTTTAGTAATGGAATAAGCACATCATCTGTAAAAGCATTATCCTTACGTGTATTTTTTTTTTCCAAAGGTCTTTTCCCACACGTACTATTTCATGTCGCTGTGTAACCCCAGGCGAGCTATTTATTTACTCCAAGCCTCAGTTTAAGCAGGCACAACAATAATGCCTACTTCACAGGACTGACATAAGGATTAAACGAGACAATAGAAGCAGATTACTTAACAGTGTCGGGCACGTAGAACGCATTAAAAAAGTTAGCAAGTAGGAAAAAAATGTTTCACTTTCACACCAATTTTACAACACAGAGAGGCTAATGGCATGCCCTGAAGGTGCACAGCGAGCACAGAGCACCGGTGAGCACCAGGGTGCTGACGTTCTCACTTCAGCGCTGGTCTCCGCTTCCCTCCTGGAGGCACCGAAAGGGCGGCCAGGGCGGGTGAGCAGATATCGGTGCAGGAGTCACAGCACCAGGGTGGCCCAGAGACACCGACGCGGCGGAAACAGACGTCCAGTTTCCCTCGCATCCCCCGAGTGCTCTTCCAGGTGCCCCCCAAGGCCTCCGCTGGGCGGGGTCCACACCAGAAAGAGGCAGGTGGGCTTCCCCAGGAGCCCCCGGCCCTCCTTCCCACTTACCCATCTCTGCCCTCACCCAGCCCCAAGGAAGAGGCGCTGCAGCAGCGGGACTCTCAGAACAGGTGTTTGGAGGGTCTTCGCACTGAGCTCGGGGACAGCTCGGGGAAAGCGTCTGCGAGCGATGCGGGGCTTCAGGTAGGAGTCTGCTCATTGGCTAGTTTGGTCGGGCCGGAGGGGTCGCGAGCTACCTCTAGGCAGCAGCGCCTGGCGGGCAGGCGGGTGCAAACCCCCGCGGGACGTCGGCGCCCCGGGCAGCGCCAGGGCGCGGAGAACGCTTGGGCCGCGAGAGGCCCGCGCTGCGAAAGGATGTTTTGGGTAAACACCCCCCCTGCTCCCCCGGGAGGTGTCACCCGCCAGGAGCCTCGGGAGCAGAGCGCCTCCCCGCGCCCCACAACCCGGCCCCAACGCCCCCCGAGCCTGGGGTACCTGCGAGTCCCCCCATGGCCGCCGTCCACGGCTGGCTGTAGACCACCGTCCACACGATGAAGATGGAGAAGCCGGCCACGGAGCTGAGGCCGGAGTAGGCGGCGCGGAGGCCGAGCTGCCTGCGAGACGGGGCCATGGGCGGCGGGCGCCGGGCGCGAGGGCGACGCTACAGCCTGCGGGGAGTCACAGGTGCCAGGCCCGGAGGCAGAAACTGAGCCCGCGGCCCACGCGTTCTCCGCCCTAGGCCCCGGCCACGCACCCGGGCCCGCCCGCGCCGCCGCCGGCACAGCGCCCTTCCCCGGCCGGAGGCCGCCGGAGCCGGAGCCCAGGCCCCGCAGAGCTCGGCGCCTGCGGTCCTGAGGCTGCCGGGCTTTCCGATGGTCAGGGGGATGGATGCCTGCTCACAGGGCAGACCCCGGGCTTGTCCTCAGACCCGCCGTATCCGGATACCTGGGCATCGGCGGGGCCTAGCAATGCATGTTTATAGAAGCCAGCTGCGGTGGCTGCTTTCAACGTTCAATCTCTGGATAGGAGGCACATTCTCTTTTAAAATTTGAGATTTAAATGTCTCATCACAGCCGAAACCGGTTTGGCTCAGTGGATAGAGCGTCGGCCTGCGGACTGAATGGATGCCTGTTCACAGGGCAGACCCCGGGCTTGTCCTCAGACCCGCCGTATCCGGATACCTGGGCATCGGCGGGGCCTAGCAATGCATGTTTATAGAAGCCAGCTGCGGTGGCTGCTTTCAACGTTCAATCTCTGGATAGGAGGCACATTCTCTTTTAAAATTTGAGATTTAAATGTCTCATCACAAATTGAAACATCAATTAAGAAACATGAAAGTACACAGTGAATACGATTCCTTCCGCCCTGCCCGGTCCCCTCCCAGACTTTCTTCAGAAACATGAAAGTACACAGTGAATACGATTCCTTCCGCCCTGCCCGGTCCCCTCCCAGACTTTCTTCAGACGGTACTTCACACTGAAGCTTGAGAATCCCTGCCACCATCACCTTCTAACTATCGCTCACAGCTCCGCTTTCCTTTCATCTCCACAAGCCTCACCCCCTCACCCCAATCCCTACCAAACATCACCTCCACCCTCAGCATCAGATGAAAGGGAAACCCCGGCCTAACACAGTACCCTCAGGGCACTTAGAATCAAGTTGGGGAGGTCCGTCACATACCCGCACAGAATAAGTAGCCAGTATTTCTTGTATTCATTTCTTTTCGCTGCAAATTACCGCGAATTTAATGGCTTAAAATAGCACACATTTATAATCTTCTAGTTCTGTAGACCCCAAAATGGGTCTCCCTGGGCTAATATGAAAGGGATGGCAGGACTGCCCTCCTGACGGCTCAAGGAGAACATCTGCGTCCATAGCTAACTCTATACATTCCTTGACTCAAG